GTTAAATTAATTTTTTGAGTTCTGATGCTTTCTAGAAGACAGGACAGACCAGAGATATTTGCATATAAATAGCTGCAGACTGTGCTCTGGTCTCAGAGTGGGTCACAACAACCTCTAAATGGCCACAAGGAATCTTTTTATTGGTAGCTTTGAATCAGGCAGCGTGTTGCCTGAAATGAATCTCTCTTCCTACAAAGCAGCCAGTTCTATTTCACACTTGTAAAAATTAGGCTAAATGAAATTGCTGTACCAGAGACTCAAGAAATTGGTAGCTTTCAATGTTCACTTTTTCTTTCTCTCTTGAATGTTATTTGAGTTAACAGAGCAGAGTGAGAAGTTGTCTGTTAACATACCAAGTCAGCCATATCCTTATCCATGCATGTGTTGAAACAGTTTCATTAATATCTAATGGAGTGGGAAAAAGCCCATTCCAAAAGAGACAAACAACAAAATGTGTTGAGGGCTCCATACAGGGCATATATTTGAGCTGAAACACAACTTGAAATAACTTAATTGAATTATAGCTGCATGGAGAGATTCAGTCAAGACTAGTGCATTTTTACAGTAGCCACTGTACATATATATGTAATCTGTAAATTCCTCAGCCCTGTAGGGCCAGACAAGGGATAAGAGAAGGAAATACTAATCCTACATTACTTCTTAACCTAATCTTAGGGAAGAGCTGTCTCGTGTATGTTACCAACCATCGTCCTGAGCATCACAGAAGAGCTGCTCTGTTGGGGAGTCTTCACACGTAAGCTGACATCTGGTCCTCACACCCTTCATGGTGACCTTGGCTGGGGTCACCTCAGGAAGATAACACCTGTACTGTGTTGAAATCGCTCCTGAACTGTATATGGACTATTTCCTTCTCATGAGGCACAGCTGTTATACTGGTTGTGATTATTTTACCTTCCTGATGCTTGAATTTAGTGTCCTCACTGGCTTCACGCTATATATTGGATGTGTATTTGCATGTTTTGTTTTACATATTGCATTTGCATTTAGTTGTTTTTTTTCCATTTAAAACACATACACTCATTTCCTACTGTACAGCAATTCTGTTCAAAAACTTCACAAGGTAGCAGATGTACAAAAAGCCTCATTTCTTCCTCTTTGACAAAAAAAGTCGTTTCTTCTTCAAGATCATTGGGTAATATTGGGTGGTCCACACAAAACATAGGAAGAGAAAGCAGCATGTCTGTAGAGTGAAGAATTTGTTGGCAAAGGACTGATTTTCATCAACTTGTGACAATTCCTTTTGACTTCTTCTTTGGGAAGGTTCCATAGGTAAATATATTCTGGTTTAACCACTACTCTTTACACAGTGTACACAGGAGATAATAAAACTTGCCTGGGAAAGATTTCTTCTTCCTTTTTGCCAAGGCACAAATAACATACAGAGGGTTGGAATGGACAACCACCTTTTCCTGTACCATTATCTTACTTCCAAAAGTAAGGGTCTGTGATCTTTCTCTTTTATGAGCTTGTACGTGTCCTTCTTAGTAGGCATTTTTCATTTGCTAAATGTGAGCATTTTGGAGGAGAAAAGGGGTTTTTCCCACAAACCACTACAGTTCCCAGGGCCCTTGCAAGTTCCTTTGATGGCACTGTCGTTCTGTGTATGAAGCCATCTATTCAGTGCTCTTTTATGGGCTGTATTCACTGATGCCCTTAGAACAGTCTCAAATGGAAATATAAAGTAAGTTTTAAACTGGCCCCCTCTCCACACAGAAATCTTCGATTGATGTTGAGGGAGTTTAATGCTTTGTACTGCAGAAAAAAAAAAAAAATCTGGGATGCTAAGGTGGAGTTCTGAAGTGATTTCTAACTGAAGAGAGTTATCTGTGAGCAAAATAAATTCCTCTCTTCACTACAGATTTGGGAAGAGCTCATCAAAGCATGACACAACACTGAGGGCTCTGCCCTCAGCATGGAGAGGCATGTTTCCATTGCCTTCCAGAGGTGCAGGCAGTTGCAGGCAGTCATTCAACAACTGTTTGATAGTTGGTAAAATATTTACCAACTAACTGATAAACCAGGGCTGTTGCCATGGTGTATCTGAAATACGCCAGTATCTTTTTCCAGTCCATCATTCACTTCTTACAGGGGGGTGTGTGTGTATATCTATATCTATATCTATATCTCCACTGCAATGTATCCCCCTGTGTTTTTCTGGGTAAATAAGGTAGCTGTATGGATGTCTTATTTTTCACATGCAAGATGTAGTGCTTAAAGACTCTTTTTTCAGGCAGCTATTTAGAAGACTGAAATGGATGGGTTTTGTGGCTGGTGAGGTTTATTTTTGTTGTTATATTTAATAGGTGAGGAGTGGACAAATCATGCAGTTTACTAATTGCCTGCCTACCTCCTCCGGCCTATCCTTTCTGGAGAAGAACGCTCTGACCTTCCAGATATTTGCTGGGAGAAAAAGAAAGCATTGCAATAGGAAAGGTGAAAGTGCAGCTCATTTTCTATTTTCCACTATGTAGCTTTGGGGTTAAAAGCTCCAGGAATTTAGGACTATAGAGGGCCTTTTTGTTTGTTTGTTTTAATAGTGGTGCTTTACAGAAGGATTGGCATGAAAAGGCCAAGTCATGAGAATATGGGAAAGGTCTCTTAGGTCTGCCTGGTATAGCACTGAACTGCCACTACTCCAAAGAAAAAGAGTTGTTTCCATCTCCTTAAAAAGGTAAAACACACATCTTACTATTGGCACTGACCACCAGCAGCACTTCCCAGCGGATGCTGCAGTGCTGTCCTCCGCACAGGAGTCAGGGTGGCATCCACAGCGAGTTCCCTGCATCGCTCAGACCTGCAGAGGCACAAAGCTCCGGGGGTGAAACTCCAGTCTACTGGGACCTGGCAGCAACGGCCTGCTGGGTATTTACTGGGACACAATTCCCCCCCTTATCTTTTTTTTTTAATACAGCAGTCACATACTGAAATAAAAGCTAATACAGTTTCTTATCGTACAGGTGATGAGGGGAGGTCTCCTGTTTTCAGTTCTCCTCCCTGAGGATCTTCCCTTTGACATTAAAATGAGACCATCTTACTTTGCCTCCATTTGCCCCAGAAGTACCCTCTTGAGGTCAGAGAACGAATGCACCTCTCCAGACAAGGTATTCAGGTTCAAAATCATTTATGAACTCCACATCGAAGCACCGAGTAAGCCACAGCAGCCTTAGTGGTCAAGTGAAACACCATTTTATGTAGGAAAAACAGGGTACTCCTGAGGTTACATTTCGAAAAGATCTCAGCGCAAGAGAGGACTCAGAAGCGTTATAATCAAGCAGTCCGGATGCAAAGCAATGCTATTTAAGAATACCCACACTGTAATCAATGCAGAGACCTGCGACACATACAAGGTATAAATGTACTGATCAGGATATAATTATTGTTAACTTGCCTTGAACCTGAATATAAGTGCAACCAATAGTAGTATACATGTGTTTCATAGCACTGTGACAGCATAACTAGACACAATTTTTATAAGTATATAAGCAATGTGATCATCAAAGGGACAAATGAAGACAGTAGCAGGCACCCAAGCAATAAAAATCTGGCAGGCAGCAGACAAGATAAGCACGAGTGGCTGCAAATAGACAGGACATCATCCAAAGATGGAAGATTGGCAAGAAAAAGAAAAAAAGACAAATGGTATTGGTGGGAGGGCAACGGCATAAAAGCATGAGGCATAAACAAGGAAAACTGGAGGAGGAGGAAGATGGCCCACTTTGATCGTGAATTCTCTCCTTCAGGAGCTCTCAAGCCTGACAATTTGGCAACTGAGAACCATCGAAGACTAACCAAGAATGCTAACTTTGCAGCGTCAGCTCTGGGGCACTGTACACTTAGAGCTAACTTTAAATTGATTGTTAAAGACCAAGTTTTGCATGCGTAGTGATGATGATTAACATTTTATAAGATTTAACCGTTAGCAAGAAGTGAGCTGCTAATGAATAAATTCAGTAATGTTTAATTTTACAGTGTAAAACTGACCTAATTTGTCAGTCTGCTAAACACTCCCATCACAGCTATCTCTGATTCCCTCACTGATATGAGTGCTTTTAGTTGCAACAGCTTAGTTACTAGGAAGTGGTCCTTGCAAATATTAGAGTCAGCTCAAGGGGAGATAGACTGAACCCCAGGAGAAGGAACTTCCTTCCCAGTGGATGAGGGAGCAGAGAGGGTGCTAAAGGAGTTCACTCCTTTGCCACGTGAGTACACGGTGCAAATCAAGGCAGCTCTGCGGCATCACTTATTAAGCCTGTACCTTCCTTAGTGCAAGGGTGGCACCAAGTAAACCTCTTTGACACTGTTTTTGGTATGAAGGCAAGGCGCTTGGAGAAAAAGTAACTAGAGGCAGTATGATAAAACACCACCATTCAGACAAGGGCTTTAAGGCATTTGTTTGGGGGCGCAGAGAAGAATAGCAAATGAGAATGCACTTTAACAACAACCAGTATAAATGCGCAACTCGGACACTTGCACAACAGTTTTACTGAACAAGAGCAAGAAGTAGACTTGAGTCTCAATCAATAACCTCCGAGGAGGAATGCTTGTATGATGGCGACAAATACACATTTTGTTTAAGTTTACATCACACTTTCTTTCCGTATTTCCATGCTATTACCCAGAAAATATTCAAAGTAATCTATCTTACTATCAGGAAAATAAAAATGTGTAAAAGTTACCATGCAAAATAAATATTCCCATTCACCCAAAATGTAATACAGTACAAAAAGAATGACAACTCATTTGAAAAAGTTGTCTGCCTCCCAGCACTACTATTCTAAGCCATTTATTGATTCACCGTTACCTTCTGAGAAGACTATTTGGTCTTCCTAGTGCACCCATTCTCCCCCTCTGCAGAAATGACAAATCTTCACTGTACTGCTTGGGTTTCTTATTCTAAGATCTGACTGCAATTACACATCATTGTATTTGTACTAAGTATTCTCTGCTTTATATTATTTCATGGACTACATCAATCTTACCTAACGTTGTCATGCCTTTGAATGTAAATCTTGTGGAAAATCCTTTCAGGAGGCTTCAGGAAATCTTCCTTCATTTCCATTGCAACATTCCTGGGCAAAAGACTCATCAAGAGACGTTCCTAAAAGAAAACGTAAACAACATCAGTTTTGTGGTATAGAGTGTGACCATTATTCAAAAGTTTTAAACTAGCAAACTAGACAACCTTTTCCTAATCTAGTCTGCTTCCTGAGAATTTCTGCTGCATAAATAATATGAACCATTTATCTCAAACTTCTGCAAACTGTGTGGGTGTCTTTTTTAAGTCTTCTGCACTAAAAAAAATCAAAAAACTATACAGAAAGGGAAAAGCCAGCTTCAAGAGCAGATAATTGTCCCTAATTTTCATTAACATCACAATGCTAATAATAACAACTTACTTTATTGTTAGTAGCATTTATCTGTCTGGGAAAGACTTCCGAGGATCATTTGCTATCCTTTTGTGTGTCCTATTTCTGAATCTAATGAAAGTGTTGCATTATAAGGACTATGACAGCTGGTTATTAAGCAGCAAGAGTGGATGATAGATTTATCCACTGTCTGAATCAGCAGAACAGTAATAAAGGTACAGTTTTAATGGTATCTTATCCAGTGTGGCAATGTCTGTTCCAGCCAGCTCCGTAACGGGATGCATCAGTACAAGCCCTTGGTTAAGCACATCTCTTCTTGCTATATCCACAGAGAGATTTTTAGCATGGGTCACTGACCTGCGTAAAAAGGACCTCTAACATTTTGGATCTCGTCAGTATTGACTATAAGGGCCTATGTAGTTTTTCCACATATTCTGGCCCATTCCCAGGTACCACCCAGAAAACTTGCAGCAGGTGTTCTTAGGTGTTGTAAGGTGTCCTTAGATACCTACTTAAGTTTTGTTTTCACACAGAAAACACTTTTTTTAAAACACTGCTGTTTAAAATGCAGTTCCAAGCGTACCCATCAGAGCTGCTAGCTTCTGCCATGGCAACAGTCTGAATGAATTCACATAACCACATCCGATCTGATTCAGGAATCCCAGGTTCCAGAGAAAATGGGGAAAGGCTGGAGCAAGGAAGATGCACGCTTGGTGGAAGGGGATCAGGTCAGGGAATATTTAAGCAAACTGGACATACCTAAGTCCATGGGCCCTGGTGGGATGTACCCACAAGCACTGAGGGAGCTGGCAGATGTCATTGCAAAGCCACTCTCGATAATCTTTGATCAAACATGGTGACTGGGAGACGTGCCTGAAGACTGGAGGAAAGAAAATGCCACTCCTACCTTCAAGAAGGGCAAGAAGGAGGAGCCAGGGAACTACAGGCCGGTCAGTCTCACCTTGAGTCCTGAAAAACTGATGGAGCAGCTCATCCTGAAAACCAGGGTGGTTGGACCAGATGACCTCCCAAGTTCCCTTCCTACCTCAGCTATTCTGTGATTCTGTTATCTGATGATTGACAGCCACCGTAATGGCAGCTGTGAGACGTCACAGAAGTGCAGATACTGGCCAAACCACATCCTCCTTTTATTTAAATGACATTAAATAAATAAAGAGCAACAATTAACACTGAGAAGAGTGTATCTGCACAGACAAGCGCTTTGTGTTGCTCACATGCATTCATTCACCAGCCAAAACCACCAAACAATACTCAAAGGGTTTCTAATTTTACAGTTTCTTCTGGAAGAAGACACATTGAATATTTATGTCACCAAAGAATAAGTTAAACTTTGCAGAACTGCCCTGCTACTTACTTTAGACTAAAGTTCCTTCATATGTTTGTGGCAGTTCATGTGGACTAGAGGCTAAGGATCATTAACTAATACTTCCTATTATTCTTGTATGTATACTAAGAATATTGCAAAGAATAAGATGGAATTAAATATTTATTAACAGTTTATGCATACATCAATTTCAGATTAACCAAACAGTCTCACATCTTGGTAGAAAATGGTTAATTACTATAATTTTTATGTTGATTTAATTAAGTATGCTTATATCTCTGCAGCACAATTATATTTGGGTAACCCAAAATTTGGGTTAAAATCCCAAACAAATAGTTTTGTCAACAGTGGATCTTACAAAGCTCTGTTGCCCACTACTTGTGTCTTGCAGTTGATTTACTGTTTTAACTGAAATATAGTGAGGTTGTAAAATGAGCTGACCACCTATCAGACAAAACAGAATCCACACAGGAAAGAAGTTTGGACTGGTGATTAAATTCTCTGGTGCTTAAGATGGTATAAACTCCAAAGGATGCTGGAATATCGTAAGTATTATCCTGGATGCCAATTTTGTGATGTCTGATAAGGACTAAATGTTCACTATAGCTTCTCTTTAAGTAAGCATATTAAACAAGATCTTTGTCATTTTGCTGAAATGGATAAGTAAATTCCAAAGCTCTTATAAAGAGTGGGGTTTCAGCTTCTGTTTCCTAGAAAGTCAGACTAAAACAAAAAGATAAACAACCAAACAAAAATTATACTGACAGATTCTTGCAGAGACCAATGCTCACTGAATATGGCCTGTAAACACAATTACAATCCAAGATGTGAATAAAAAACTCACAGATAACTTCTGCAGTGCTCAGCAAATGGCACAAAAGCCAGGGAGGTAATAACAATCGTTACTGTGAAGGTAGCATTGTAGAAATGCAGGATGCAGCACTTGAGAGCGTTGAAACCTGCAGATATAGTAAGGGAGGCTACAAAACCGGTGATTCCTATATGCATTAGCTTGACTATTACAAGACCTGAAGGGAGCTTATGAAAATCCTATATCAAATTGTGGTGGCTTGCTTTTTTCATTAGAGATAGGGAAGAAAAAAAAAAAAAAAGATTACTGAGGAAGAATTGTAAAGTCTTTACAAAGAGGGTTAGCAGCCTCAGACTCTCCAAGCGAGTAAAGACTCAATTATGGCCCTCTCAAAGGGCAGCCACTGCTGACCTTTCAGACCAAGAAGGGAAGCAGCATCGTGGCTGTAAAGAATTGTCACTGGAAGAGAGACTGGAAAATGTGAGAAACAACCCCACAATGGAAAGTATCGAAGCACTCAAAATAAATGAAAGACAGCATCTAGCTCTCTAGAAAAAGAATAAGAAAAGTCTCTTATATTTTGGGCCAAATCTCATCTGTCAAGCAAAGCAGTATCGCCCTTCAGGTCAGCCTAAGGAATGAATGCTCAAGGATTCAGAAGTTTAGAGCGGCAAGAGTGAACTCATGTACAGCAAACACAGCCGTGGGAAGGGTTGGGAAAGGTCCCCGCCGGGATCTCTGCTCAGCAAGTCCTACCATCGTTGTCAGATTTTCTTCATTTGCTTCTGTATCTGATTATAAAAATAATCTGAAAACCAGACTAAAAGGAAAACTAGATGTGCACTGCTGCATAGTGCATTGAATGGAAGAAGTGATAGCACCAAAGCAAGGCCGGTCCCATTTGTGGTGACATTCATGCCTGAGTGGTTGTTGCCTCTGATGAGGATGGGTGGTGACAGAAAAAAATTGAAAGAGTGAGACAGCACTAATCAATTAGCAACAACTTTGACTAGAATAAAACAACACTCAGGCTGCAGACCTTCTTATTTGTGACAAATGATGTTGTACTGAGGTAGCCTCAACACGTGGCATATTCCAAAACATAGGGCCTAGCAGAGAGAAAAATGTTTCCACATTTTCACCTCTCTCACTGATCCACAATGCTCTTTAGGCTAATTACAGCTGGTTTCTACCCAGAAAATTAAATCTTGGCCCTATGACCAACTTAGACTGTTTTAGGAATTTCTACTCTCTTCTTCTGTTGTAAATCTTCACTCAGCATTAACATGGTCTAAAGTGAAATCGCATGCTGAAAAAAAGATTCTTTTCAGAAATTATAATTGTCTGTGAATGATTTTGCATTCCCTGCACAAATCTCACTAAGAAAAGAAAATGACAGATGAGGACCTATATCTCCTTCATTCACAGCATTCTTCATTTGTATTTTAAATTGCCAGTCCTCGCCTGGGATCTGGAATGTCAAACTGGGCTGCCTCTGCCAACTGTCTTATCCTCATTAATGAGGATTTCTGTACCATTAATGAAGACTTTGTTAATTTTGAAAAGGACATTCGATTTAGAAAAACATCCAGATTCCTTTCTCCCACAGCAATGAAGCGTTGCTAGAAATAAAAGAAGGAGCAAACGTTCCTTTGACTCCAAGGCAAGTCAAAATGTGCATACCAAGCCAATTAGGAATGGCTCAGTGTTACCTTGGCCCTGTTCAACAACTAGCACATGACAAAGAAGGAAAATACGCAAAGGTAGAGAAATGGGAAAAAAAATTGTTTCCCATTGTTAATGGCCAAAAAGAACATTCTCAACCCTAACTGCAAGTACAAGCTCCTGTACTGCAATTCTCTGCATTGGACCTGGAGAAAAACTTTAGTCGTCTCACAGTTATTCAAGACTTGGCTAGACAAAGCCACGGTTGATCAGACCTGGTGTTGCTGGCAGTCCTGCTTTGAGGGGGTGGTTGGACTGGATGACCTCCAGAGGTCCCTCCTGACCCTTGTGTACCAAGGGGGACAACAGCACAGTGATCAGGAGTGGAGGGTGCCTGTGGCTTCCCGGGGAGGCCCGAAGCCATCCTGCCACCTTCCCACACACAAGTGTGGCTTCTGCAACAGCAGGGGAGCTCAGGGCTCAGCACCCTCTAGCAGTGGTGCGATTTCTCCTTCCTGAGAGGGGAAGCAGAAAGAGGCGAGCAGACCACAGAGGCTGCTGAAGCAACAGTTTCCATCATCCACACTCTCTGTTTTGCCCCAAAGCTCTCTTCAGCTTTCCCCAATTTGGAGGCTTCTCAGCACAACTCCCTCCCCCATCCCCATCCCTGGCCCAGACGGCTTCTCCCACTGGCTCCGCTTCTACGGGAGTCCCCAGTGCAGGTTCCTAATACGTGTCTTGTGCCTGTCTCCACATGAAGAAGCCTGTCCCCCTCCCATTTTGAAAATCATCGTCTTGCTTATTTTACTGCTTCTTCCAAACACTTATGACTTTCTCAAAGTCCCTTTGAAATTTTCACTTTGTTTTATAATCATTTCATGCAGCTCCCCAAGCAATACTATACAGTCCAA